TTCATTCCACAGAATGAAACAGTAATAAAAGATCTGCAGATGTTTACAACAGCCAGAAAGGCTGGTTTGCCAGAGTGCTAAAGTATACATAAACCCTTCCTGAGTCATACTTAAACAAAAGACATTCTGCTGCCAGAAGAGCTCAGGGTTAAACAGCAGAAATGGAAACGTGATACTTATCAATGTTTTCTAAAGAAGGGAAATAGTAACCATGTATCCTTACTAGTCAACGGTCTGTGTACAGAATCGTATTGGTTAGTAAGATACCGAGCTCATGTCAGACTAGATCCAAGGAAATAGAAATCAAGTTCTCTCATTCTTTTCCTTGTGTCTGTGAGGATTGTTGATACACTACTACTTCAAACTAGAGGAGGAGGGCTAGAGAGATGGCTCAGAGGTTAAGAGCACGGGCTGTTTCTTCCAGAGGACCCTGTTTTAACTCTTAGCACCCACACGGTGGCTCACAGCCATCAGTAAGTCGAGCTGCAGAGGATCTGATGCCCTCTTCTGGCCTCTGTGTGCACCAGGCATACATGCGGGACAATGACATACATGCAGGAAGAACACTCTTACACATATTTTTTTCCTTTTTTAGTGTAGGAGGATATTAACCAGAGGTATTTTGTGGAGGATGAAATCATCACTGCTGTTATGGTCCTGGCAAGACATAGTTATAGCTACAGAAATGACTGTCCCATAATTGTTCCTGATTTAGCCAGTATTATTTCTTGATCTCATTAAATGCTCTTAAGTTCCTTCACACGTGTTAGCAAACAATTTAGTACTTAATTTGAATTATTAGCAAAAAATATTGAGACGCCAATATTCTAAACCATTGTCTCAGACTTATCTGGACGTTTAATTAACTTTCCAATTAATCTTTGATATGAAAAATTCAGTAAATAACCGTGAGTATTAAACAAGCTACATTAAAGCCAAACATAAAAAAAGTCTTTTTTTTGTCCCTCAAAGAGACGGGATCTTGCCAAAGGAAATGCCTCCAAACTAGTAAACAATGACAGCTCACCTTTGGAACATTTAAGTTGTCTACAATCAAATATCTGAGAGTCTAAAGAACATACTACTAATAGTATGTTTAGGACAAAATGATAAAAATAATTACGCAGAGTTTGTAAATTAGCCAAGAAGAAAGAGTCTTAAGAAAACTGAGAAGGGAAAAGAGGGCAAAGGCACATGGAAAGTGGTGGGGGTTTCCATACAACAATGCATAGCTGCTAAGGGTCAACAGGAACACCCAGCCTTCATTAAGCATTACTGAGGGAAACACTCTCGGAGTTGCTGGACCTCCTTTGTCAGGAGCCAATTTCCTCCTAAAATCATTGCAGGAACCATCACCCTGGGGAGTCTGCAGAGAACCCCACACCCTTAATTGTGTTAGGAATAGTTCTATTGACAGAGCCTACCCCACACCCAAATTGGCTGTTAATGAGAGCTATCTGTTAGCAGAATCCACCCCACATTCCAAACTATCTAGGGATCTAGGTGTGTCAACTCGTGGCTTCTTGGCCTACAGTGACCTGACCGAAGACAACCTCCTGCCTACGTGACCAACTCAGACCATGTGACCAACGTGAACCACGCGGCAAGAGCCCAGGCCCCTGTGCCCACCCCCCAACTCTTTACCCTATAAAAGTTGTACCCCTGAGGCTTTGACAAGAATTCTCGCTTAGCCTCCTTCCGCTTTCCTAGCCCATTATCTTCCAGGTGGTGCCTCTCTGTGACCCTGGAATAACTGACTGCCAGGTGGGTTACTAACCCTAGACTGAGTAGCCCACCCCAAGGCAATCAACACTCCTTGCTCTCCCATCAAATATTCTCCAGCTCAATCATTTCACTAGACTGAGGAAACAGGCCTGGCCTGTGTGAGTGTGTGTGCAAGGTGTGGCAACCATTACACAACTCAGCTTTTCAAAACTTCACTTCAACACTTCACAGGCACAGACATGCGGCTGCATTAAACACACACACAGACACACACGGACACACACACAGAGGCACGCACGCACACACACAGCAAGCGAGTGAGAGAGAGAGAGATGGAGGGTAGGCAGATAGAGACTTATCTACTACATTAGTCATTAATTCTCCACACTATTTTCCCTTCTAATATGCGGCAGGCAGAAGACCTCTTGGGATCTATACTGAAAGCCACGTACAGAGAAGCACAGTGACGCTGTAAGGGCGAGGGAAATCTGTCTGTATTGCATGAATTCCTTCCCCAGCTTCGGTGTCTCCCCAGCTGTACCCGCTTCTATTTCTGAGGACTTAGTCTTAAGCTCCCTGTATAGACCGTAACGCTCCAGATGAACCCTGGGCCAGCCTTCATTTCCTTGTCTCTTCTTTGAAGACACCTGCGCAGGGAAATTTCTCCCAATATTTTTTAGAGAAAACAAATTTAAAAGTCTTCATCTCATATCATGGCCTGGAGCCATGTAGCCCATCACCACGCGGAGTTCCTCGTGTTCACTTTAGTCATGTATATGACTCATATTATGGGACCTGCCATACAGTCTTTTATTTTTAGCATAAAATTGAGATCATGCTGTATAAATTGACACTTCGAATTCTTTTTACCAATGTGTCATAAACATTTTACTGTATTATAAATAGATTTTCAAAATGTCCTAACGACTTTCAATGTCTCGTTAACTTTATTGCACGAAAGTAAGTACTCAGGTAAACAAGAGGTCAGAAGTCAGTGCCTGCAGCACTAGGAAGACCATAAGAAAGAGGGTGGAGTCGCTCTACAAAGCAGAGGCAGGACAACTAAGCAGAGACTATGGGGTTCCACTGCTCAGTGAGGGTAAACAGAACATAAGCGCATAGGAAGAACCCATGAGTCGGCCAGAGTCAAATCAAACACACACTGCTTAAGGAGCCTAGGAGGAAGATTGCATGTTTGCATTAGCAATATGGGGTTTTCCACCACAAAAGGAAATGAATGCCATTTCTCGTAAGAAAGACAAATAATAAACAAGTAAAATAAACACGACACCTACTACAATAGCCCATGGAGAAATGTGATTGGCAAAACAGGCAACGGTTCTCACTGGCGTTCTTATGCCCAGGACCAATTGTCTTCTCTCGGTCAGAGTGACTTGATCTGTCTGTCGGGTGGTTATTCTAACCCCTGCCCCTTTCGCATTCCCAAATCTTTCCATATTTAAACATGACATAGAAACAGCCGAGGTGTTAGCAGGTGCCACCAGTCAGACCTGGAGCAATCCTGCATCTGCCGGTGGTGTGGCACCTGAAGTATAAGGACAGCTTTTACAAATGTCACTCTAATGTTGATGAAAAGGTCCTGATGCTGTCTAAAGATGTGCTGTCATCGTCCCCTTCTGTCCCTGTATTTCCTCATCTCCTCTTTTTTGTAAGTTGCTGCGATATCCTGCTGACTGCAGAAAAAACGTCACTGGAAACTGCTTGCATGGCTTTTGAGCCGCAGTGAATGCTGCGATGGAAATGTCACAGAAACAGTGGTTATAAAGTAAAAAGCACCTCTGATTTACCAACTTTCATAGTTAATGTCCAATAGTCTTTCTCTCTCACCGTAAATCTCCATGGCGCTTTAAGCATACCATGACATTAATAAGCTATTTCATGTAGGCGTGCATGTAATTTGACTATTGTAGCAAGCCCAGAAGAGACACATAGGGATTTCATACAGAGAAAGGGTGGTGACCCGTATCGCGTTAAAGACTAGTTGATTCTTCAAGAACACAAAACAAATCACAAGGAAGATGAGCATGCTGGGGGAGGAGAGACACCAGGGATGGGGAAAGCTTGCTCTGTCTTTCATCAGGCATAATTTCCTTGAAAAACATCTTTTCTTGGTGGTGGTAGGTAACTGAGAATTCCAGTATTAAACAAGAGGAAGTCAGACCCCTTTGAGCTCTCTCCCAACTAAACTACAAACCATGGGCAAAACACAAAGCAACCAAACTGCCCCTGAACAAAATGCTAAATGACTGGTAAAGGTAGTCACAGCTCAGAGGACAACCAGGAAGGTTATGAAGCATGGAGGCCCGAAGGTAGGAGGACGTGTTTAAATTGCCCCTACTGAACACAGGGCAAATACTCCTCAGTTGAGGAACAGATAAAGGGAACACATTATTGCCACATTCAACCCAGCGATTGACTACTAAATACAATATGCTAGGCTAAAGAAACCATAATTGGGATGTTAGTACTATATGGTCCCATTTATATGGAGTCTTGAAAATACATACTGACCAGTATGGACAGCAGCATTTATTAATGATAAAAGGAGTTAAAGTGGGGGGAGTTAACTAGAAATGGATAGCTCTACAGGAATTATTATTTTAGTATATTTTTAGACTAGAAATTTTAAGACTATTTGTCTTAAATGTAATGGAAGCAACAGGTTTCTACGCATGTGCTAACTTGGAATTATAACTAAAAAGTTCATTTTAACACTTCATATACTAAAATAACTTTTAAAAGAAAATCTGAAATCTTGATAAATTTTTCTTAAAAAAATTTTACTGATAGGTCAGTTAACTGGCTGCACACAATTACATATTTACAAACGTTGAGAAGTTTAGTAGAACTCTATCAGGCAATTTCATTTAAAAATAAAACCCACTTGGCCTTCATCCATTTTGGAGACAGCCCAGAAATGTTCAGAATAGAACACTACCACCCAGGTCACCAACGTATAAATTCTACATACATTTAAAAATTCCTCTCAATGACGTAAACATTTCCAATTCTACATCGCAGTTGTGACTACAGGCAGTTTTCACTTCTGAACCGATGCTTAAATTAATACACACTACTAATGTTGCACTAAGTATGTCCCCAGCACTACTTAGTAGTCACACTAAGGGGAAAATCAGTTCATGACATCACACTACACTGGTTCTTCTCGCGCCGGTCTGAGAAGGTTGTCAGTGCCTGCTTTGAGGTCTGCAGGAACAGGCTGAGAAAAACGTTCAAGATAAATTTGAACATACCCTGTCAAAGAGTGCAAAAAGTTGTCTCAGGACATCGGAAACAGGCAACTTTAAGTATTCTGCAAACTCTTCAATTCCAATTCTGCCTCCTTTGGAGGAACTGGCAATAGAGGCATATTCATCCAAGTGCTTACGAATGCCGTCCCAGTCTAACCTAAACAGAGAGTTGTAACGACATTGTTAGCTCTTTCTAAGTCACACGTACATTGTGTGACCGCTACTTTATCAACTTGTCCATGGGAAAATAGTTAATGTTAAATTTTAAAAGGCAGTGAAAATAAATATTTGAGAGAACATATCAAAGGTGTATGTGACTACTTAATTTTTAAAAGTGTATCAGTAAAGGTGACCAAAAAATTCCATAAAATATTGGAAGGAAAGTAAAGTAAATACAAGCAGTGTGGCGAAACAGCAAGAGTCCCAAGAACTTGAACCTAATATTACCTGGAAAGTCAACTGCTGCTTATTGAGCTGATATGAAAGAAATAATGGCTATTCTTTCAACAAGCTTTTGAAATGTTGCGATTGGGTGATTCACTAAACTATACCTATCTCCTCTGATATTAGTTTTTGAAAATCAGGATGACAAAATATTGGAAAGTACACTACGCTTACATCACCTCTTTGCTTTGAGAAATTAAATATGTGATCGAATACATACTTCTACAAGCAGTTTCAATGACTGTATCACTTTTCAAACCTGAGGAATATTGTGGACATAGTGCTAGCACAAAAGCAAAATTTTATTGTCATCTAAAAGACAAAAATATTTTCTATATAACTTATCAAAATCCATTTCCATAAGAAACTTTGAAAGGAGAACTAGTTTTATAGTAATTGCCTAGGGAGGATGACAACATTTATTAAGTCAATATCTTCTGTAAATTCCTAGTAAGGATAAGAACGGAATTAACCATAATCAAAGAAAGATGTGAGAGTCATACCACATAGCCAAATTAGTAATTCCAAATAGTTCAAACAAGATTACAAATACATGGGGGCCGGTGGGGGGGGGTCTGCCTTAGCAGAACCAAACCAAATAGGTAATCAAACCAATAAATAAATAAATAAATAAATAAATAAATAAATGATAAAATAAACTATGGGAAGGCTGCTTACAAGATGACTCATTGGGTAAAGGTGTTTGTCATCCAGCCTGATGACCTGAATTCAATCTCTGGTCGGTGGAAGTCATGGTGGAAAGAGGATTAACTGCCTGCTGCAAGTTGTCTCCTGACCTCCACACGTGCGTTCTGGCAAGAATGGGATGAATGTGTATGGGTGTGCGCATATATCTTGAATTATACTTACTTCAATTTCCGGCTAATCTTAGTGAATTCTACCAGCCCAGCTTCCATAGGCAACGTTAGCTGTCCTGCTGAGATCATCAGCCTGCAGTCTTCGTAGGTGTGATCCGTCACTGGTATTGCCAACGCTCTAAAAGCAGTAAGGAAGAAAAACATGGCATGAAACACTCATGATGTCTCACCAGTCCTGTGCTGGTGAGCAGGCCGTGGTGACGAGAAAGGGATCTGTGGTTCCTCAGATGGTTGGTTCTCTTGCTTTGCTCTACCTCCTCGATCCACTCCTATCTAAATTCCTTCTGTCTTTAGGCTTCTGTATAGCTGAAAATTCAATTTGTGTTCTCATTGGAAAAATACTTTATTAGTAGTAGTATTGCAAATTATGTAACATAATAATTAGTGTTGTGGGGTTTGGCAATAGGAAGTGCGGATCTGAGTCCTAGCCTGTCACCAACTCACAGGATCTGGGGGAAACTGCTCAGGAACCAGCCTACTGCTCTCCTTGCCACAGGGCTGCTCTGAGCACACGGTGAGAAAATATGCATAAAGGGCCTTCATAGCACTTGCTTTGAGCCTTTCGTATCTTAATACAGGGATCAGTGTGCACACCAGGCTGGCATGACGTCACCATCCCCAGTCTCCTGAGAGCTGAGATGAGCAGGCACATTTAATACAGGGCTCAGGGGGCTGGAGAGATGGCTCAGTGGTTAAGAGCATTGCCTGCTCTTCCAAAGGTCCTGAGTTTAATTCCCGGCAACCACATAGTGGCTCACAACCATCTGTAATGAGGTCTGGTGCCCGCTTCTGGTCTGCAGACATACACACAGACAGAATATTGTATACATAATAAATAAAGATAAAATAAATAAATAAAAATACAGGGCTCACTGTGCATACCAGGCTGGCATGATGCCAACAACATAACCTTCTGAGAGCTTAAATACATAGGCACATTTAATATAGGAATTGGTGTGCACACCAGGCTGACATGAAGTCACCAACCCAGCCTCCTGAGAGCTGAGATGAGCAGGCACATTTAAGACTCAGGGTTTATTTTGCTTACACTTCCAGGTAGCAGTTCACCACTGAGGGAAGTCAGGGCAGGAACTCAAGCAGGAGAGGAACCTGGAGGCAGAAGCTGATGTAGAAGCTACGGAGGGGGTGCTGCTTACTGCCTCACTCCCCATGGCTTGCTCAGCCTGCTTTCTTATAGAACCCAGGACCACCAGCTCAGGGACGCCACTGATCACAGTGAGCTGGGCCCTCCCATATGAATCAGTAATTAAGAAAATTCACTGCAAACTAAGTAATGCTGAAAGTGGGAGAAACTGTCTTCCCCAGGGATGAGCACACCACCTGGTTATCCAATACCAAATCATCAGCAGTGAAAACAAGGATATAAGTGACATTATTCAGATTGAGTGCTTGTAGGTATGTATTTAAACACACACAAAAGTGTGCACGCACACACACACACAAACACAATACTTAATGAAAAAAAAGAGTACATGAATTTGAAAGAAAGGGGAAAATTATGCTGTTATATTAATCTCAAAAACTAAAAGAAATAATTTTTAAAATCCTCCCACCAAGAAGAAAAGATAGAAAACGCACTAGACTTGCCTATAGGCAAATCTCATGGAGGCATTGTCTCAAATGAGAATCCGTCTTCCCAAATGATCCCAGCCTGTGTCAAGTTGATAGTCAATAAAACTAACCAGGGCAAAGTCAAATTTGGAGTTCCTATAGAGTTTTTACTGAAAGGCAAGTGGGGAAATCTGTGTGTCTATCAGTCCCAAACCTCCTACTGGGGCACCTACTGGGGCTCAGAGAGGGACCCTGGTTAGGGTATACACACGGAGGGCCCAAAGGCTGCCTGAGTGGTGGTGTACAATAACACGTTTTCTGTTACAAGTCAGGGTAATTTATCTAATTAAAATACTCGCCAGTTAAAACCCCCTTAAGTGCAAGAAATACACTGTCCAGTTTGTGAATGCTATTATAGCCGTTCTTTCGTATGGGAGTTCTTTTCCTTCTCTGTGCATCCCACAAGCAAGCCTTTTCCTTTCTGATAGTATAATCATTAATACTCTAGAAACGGTCAGCCATGGCAGCTCAGGGGATGGAAAACTATAGTCTCATTGAGGGTGCCTGAAACCACCCCAAGGCTCCGTAGTGACAGGCAGCACTGTGGAAGACTCTAACTGGCCTTTCAAGCAGAGAAACACCATAATCAGCTATTTTGCTGACTGTGTACCTTAGCACACCACCGTACCTCCCTCTCATGAGCTCACGAAAGAGAACCATGGGGGGGGGGGTTCTTTAAGCTATATTAAGTAACATTTTACCAATAATTTTCAAATTATTTATCAGTTAGAAGCTCTAAGACATACTTACTCTGCCATTAAATTCCGGACTCTACTGGCAAAAAGAACAGGATCGTTTTTTTCCTCATCACTTGGTGCTTGGACAGGCAGGAACTGAAAGACAAACACACCTTTCCACAGCGGTCCTTAGGCCCAGGACATTAAACACTAAATGAATTCTGTTAAATGACCAATCAGCATAGCTCAACCTTGACCTTCCTGGAGCCCATGTTCCATGTCATGCGAGGGACTCTGGGCTCAGACTTGGGACATGGGAGCCTCCTGTGTTAACTTTGCTAAACTGCCTTCCCAGTGGCAGAAAGATGGCCATGGTCACCTACTAGCCTTACTCTGATTCTGAAGAAGACTGATTCCTGGAATTCTAGAATCTGTAATGTAGCAGTGCCCAACACTTCACCTGCAGAGCTGGATTTTTTTCATTCCTATTTTAAGTGGAAAAGGCCTTAAAAATCTTTTATACTATCATATATTCCGTCCATTCCAAAATTAACAATACTTAAGTTATTTGATTGAAAACTATGTTTTTTTTTTTTTACTTTTCCTACTTTAAAAAATTAAACTTCAGAACTGGCTTTCTAGTCTTTTGTCTGTCATACTTTATTGTGGCTTTGTATTTTTCTTTATTTGTCTGTTTTCCTTCATCATTTTTAACTTTATTCTCCGCCTCACATTGATGCCTGACTTGTGCTGCCCTTGTTTATTTTTTTTAACTTGCCTGTGTGTATGTGTGTGGAGTGTATATGTGCACACGTCATGAGGGTGTATGTGCTCATATGTGCACATGTATGTAAAAGCCAGAGGTCAACTTCAAGGTGTGTCCTCTATTTCTTCCGACTTTATTTGCTTTTAGACAGAGTGTCTCACGGAACCCTGAGCTTGCTTGCTGGCTAGACTGACCAAGAGCTCCCCAGGCAACCCCAGCTATGTTTCCTCTCCCCAACACAAGGGCTATGAGATGCTCATGCCATGGAGTGGTCACTGCACCCTCCCTCCAGCCTCTAGCCTTTATATTTATGGTTTTCTAACACCGAGAAGGGTTTAATTCCATATCAAAATTATGTAACTTTTCTGATCTTATAATATTCCAGACAAGATTCTTAGGACCCTTTTTTCTAAGAAGTCCCACATCTTAGTAAGGCAGATGAACACATCATTGCCACCCCTCATGCTAAGTACAATTACATGCAGCGTTTTAACTCTTAGCTCACCTACCCAGTGTTAGAGAATTCACATGGCCCAGGTTCGGTCCAAGACCTGTCAGACTTTTATTTTCTCCCACAAAACCATTTCTCCTGGAGTGTGAGAGCAAGGAGCAGGAGACTATGAATTTTGAGTGAGGGTGGGAGGTAAAGGAATGTCATCAATGCAGCAGATGAGGCTAGGGAGAAGGTTCCACCAAAGAGCTAATTCTGTTGAGAATGTGCTACAGAAAACCCAACCCTTGATCGTGGCTTTCCAAGGGTATGCGCCATTTTGCCCATTTCGCTAGTTTACTGAAATATACCAATGAACCTGGGACTATGCTATGTGTTTCATATGCGTCATTTTATTAATTCTTGATGGAGGAAGGTCATTGGTTAAATAAAAAGAAACTGCTTGGCCCTCATTGGTTAGAAGATAGGTGGGAGGAGTAAACAGAACAGAACGCTGGGAGGAAGAGGAAGTGAGCTCAGACTCCACAGCTCTCCTCTCGGGAGCAGACGCCTCAGAGAGATGCCATGCTCCCAGCTCCCAGGCAGACGCACGCGATGAAGATCCGACCCAGGATGGACAGAGGCTAGAATCTTCCCGGTAAGACCGGTGCTCACAGATGATTAGAAATGGGCTAAATTAATATGTGAGAATTAGCCTAGAAGAGGCTAGATAGAAATGGGCCAAGCAGTGATTAAATGAATACAGTTTGTGTGTTGTTATTTCGGGCATAAGCTAGCCGGGCAGGCAGCCAGGGTGCTGGGGACGCAGCCCCGCCGCCCATATTACTACAAATTCTTATTTACATCATAAAGAATCGTGATTTATAAAGGTTAAATGACTCAAGGTATCATGACTTGCATTCATTCAACAGATATTGGTTGAACATAGACCTCTCATGGGCTGGTCAGTAAGCCATGCCCTGGAGATTTGGCACTGAAGGCCCTCTCCCTCAGGAAGTTCTCCATGAAGTATGGCAGATACTTATTATACAATGAGCTAAGTCAGTACTGAGTACTTTCAAAGGGGCTTTATAATTAGCCCTCTCAGCTCTGAGGCAAGCCCTACCATTTAATATGAAATGTTAGCTTTTTAACTTATGATGAAAATGTGACTTAAAGACTAAATAATAGCCGGGCGATGGTGGCGCACGCCTTTAATCCCAGCACTCGGGAGGCAGAGGCAGGCGGATCTCTGTGAGTTCGAGACCAGCCTGGTCTACAAGAGCTAGTTCCAGGACAGGCTCCAAAACCACAGAGAAACCCTGTCTCAAAAAAAAAAAAAAGACTAAATAATATAGCACAATTATATATATGTATAATATAAATGGCAGGCCTAGAACTTAAAGGGGAAAAAAAGATTTGTATAAAGAAATAGCACTTTTCTTCAAATGGATCTATATTCAAATATTGCTAAGCACACTATGAATCTTGGGACACTGGTGACTCAGACAAAGTTTGAGCAAAGCGATGAGACAAGACAAAGCCTAGGGTTATTTCATTGGCTTTATTTTGTGGGTTGGTGTTTTGCCTACATATATGGTTGTGCGCCACATGTAACCACATGTGCGCCAATGAAACCAGAAGAGGGCACTGGATTCTCTCAGACTGGAGTTTCCAGAGCATGTGAGCCACTATAGAGGAGCTGGGAATTGAACCCAGGTCCTCTGGAAAAGCAGCCAGTGCCTTTAACAGCTGAGCCATCTCTCCAGCCCCGATGTCTGAGTCTTTGAGCAACAGCTTGTGTGGTTGGGTACCAAAGATGAAAAAGTTGGGAACAGAGAAAGAAGAGTCTGGAAAATTCTGCAATGGTCCCAGGAGAGACGCTGGGACATGGAAGAGGAGGAATGAAGATGCAGAACGGGGCTGGGATGCAAGAGACCTTTTGAAGATAAACGTGCTATGTGTCATTGTGCTTTTCATGTTTATTTTATTAACTGGACATGGAAGCAACAGCACTTTGGAGAATGACCCTGCTGTGCGATCCACGGAAAGGCATTTAGCTTCTTTGGGGCTTTAAGTCCTTCTGTCAAATGAACAGCGTTGACTCCACAGTCTCTAAAGTAAGGACTTCTAAGGTTCTTTCTAATTAGAAGTCTCTCTGCTCAGCACCTACTTCTTCAGGGTGGATAAACCAATTGAGCCACCAGAGGTCTCCACAACACTTACTATATCCATATCCAGAACAACGAACTGCAAATCCTCTGCCCTAACCTAGCAAAACAGACTACACTTACATAATATGTAATTCAAAGAAGAAAACAGGAGGTTAAAAATGTTTGTTAAATCTCTAACAAAACGATAAAAGGAAATCAAGTTTTAAATTGCCAAACAATTCTTTAGTTTTTAAAAGTCAGCGGCAATTTACTCTGACCTCCAGAGAAAGGCAGCCCACGCTAGGCGACTGTACCAGCCCCCAGCCTCACAGCTGCCCTTCCCTCCCTGTTTAAATAGTCTCCAGTTTTACACCATGTTTCACTTTGTCCCTGTTAAAAAGCTTTGCTGTCCCATTTCCCAGCTTCGGGCTTTGTTTTTTTTAATGGTGCCCACCTCTTCTCAAGCTTTAACCTGCACACAAGAGTCAGGGAAAACACCTGGCTGTATTAGGTACATTTATCCCATAACAAGGACCAGGCCTCCCATCAACACCAAACACCAGTAAAACTAGTTTGCTCATGATTTCGTAACCACACCAGGCACACATCCTTCCCACTGACTAATGAGTAAGAAGGGGAAGACTGCTAAATGATGACACTATGATTGTCTTATTTTTCTTTTGTCCTAGAAAACGAAAGCATCGCAAGTCAACTCTAACCATGTGAGATTGTATGCTTATGATTCCTTTTCTAAATCTTCAGAGAGAAAATGCGCAATGAAGGAAAGACTTTTATCAACACCACTTGGTGCTTCCTTTCCAATGGGAGAAAACTGCCAGATGAGGTGGGAAGTGAAAGTTAATGCTTAATGAACGCTTACCATGTATGTAGCCTTATTAAATTTCACAGCCCTATAAAAAGGTGTTACTATCCTCATTCACCAGTGAGAACATAGATTTAGAGAAGTTAAGTACTTTTCACACATGTAGGCAAGCAGCAAAAACCTGGAACAATCTGATATTTTTTATAATACTCATGTCTACTAATACTTACAAACTGCAAATTTTGTCAAGTTCCAGAACAAAGTTGCTTTGTTAGAACATACATGTGGCTGGTGTGTGTTTATATGAAGGTGTAAAATCTGGATTTTTCTAAAAGGCCTGCTTTAGATTCAAAATTACAAATAATTTAAGGCATTTAGATATTTAAAGAAATTACACAAACATACAGGCACAGGCGGTAAAACATGGTGTTCAGCAATGGACCTCGTATATAGTGATGATCCTGTAGGGTTGCAATGGAGCTGTCGATACATGTTTTTAGATGTTCAAGTATCACTGTGACATAACTGCCTACGGCATTTAACACAGCAAATGCTAAACAGGTTTGCAGCTGAGAACCAACAGGCTCTATCATGCAGTTGAGAGAACCTATGTATGAGAGCCTCTTCCGTCTAGATTTGTACAAGGGCAGCCTATAATGTCTACATAAAACACATTTCTGTGAACATGCCTAGCTGTTATTTAATACATGACCTATTCAACCCTCCCTTAAGTAATTGGCTTTTTGAAGACTTTTTTAAAAGCTATATAATATGCAGTAATCATTGTCATAATCCACCCAAAGTTTACTTTTAAAAGTATAAAACGAATATCATATTCTTAGATAGCAAGACTTAGATTGGGTTTACTCAGTGTTGAAGATGGTTTAGTAGCATGTTTACAAAAATAACAAAGATTTCCATCAAACAAACGAATGAACACCCCCCCCCCCCAAAATCAGAGTTGCTTCTGAACTGCCCAGACACCTACAATCCCAGGGACAAATGACCAGAGACCCCCCCGCCCAACAGAGCTCCGTGCGGGGCAGGTCAGCTCGCTACAGAAGTTCCAGTGGGAAAGGCTGAGCCTGGGAGGCAAGGCCCGGATTATTAGTCTGTGCTAGGGTGTGGCCACGCTTAGTGCCTGAAAGGTGCGGGGATGCATATCTGAGTTAGAGTCAAAGAATAGATAACTAAAATATTCAAATGTTATTAAGCTATTAGACCCATACATGGTGGTATACATCTTAATCTTAACTACTCAGACACTGAGGCAGGAGAATTCCAAGTCGGAGTCCAATCTGGGCAGTTTAGCAAGATTCTTTCTTAAACTGAATAAGAAATACTGGGGGAATGTATGCAATTCCCTGGTAGAACCCCTGCCTAGCACGTGTGAAACCCTGGGTGAAATGCCAGTACCACAAAACACAAAATAAAGCAGTCAGGATCTCCATGTGTGGAAGAACTATAAATCCAAAATAAATATAATAAAAAACAAGAATACTAAACTTCAAACTCCATAAATTCCAGTTCAGCACCACAATCCAAATACCTCAATTCAGTTCCCTTACTGACCCAGCTATTTCCAACAGGCTGAAAGCCAATTTGCTTGTGAAGAACAAAGAATACGTTCTTTCCTTTGCCAGATGGAGAATGGTTTTTTTTTTTTTTTTTTAAGAAATAGTCATGACACAAAAAGGAAATGTGGTAACAGCAGTCAGAGGCCACGATGAGGAACTGACGTACCCCGTTGTAATGCTGTTTCACCATGGACATGTACGCTAGACAGGAAAGTACATCTCTGGGTGTACTTCTGCATTCGGAGCTGGGTCTTAAGTTTGTCTGGAGAAGGGTCAATTTAGAGGAGAGGACACTTATGGCATGTGGTGTGTGTGTGTGTGTGTGTGTGTGTGTGTGTGTACGTGCTTGTGTGTGTGTGTGAGAGAGAGCTTCCAAATCTGCAGAGGCGACAAAAAGGTTGTTTTAAGTATAGGCTTGTTGGTCTTTTATAGGAAAAGAAAATAGAGCTAAACCATACAAAAAGTTATTAAAGAAGGAAGAGCCGTGCTCAGGGCACTTAGGGACAACAGTGTGAGCCTGCCCATCCTCTGTGGAAGAGTTCTGTGGTCTAGCAGTTCAAAGGCTCTGAGAAAGACCCCAGTTCACTGTATTTGCCTGAGTGCTTCCTGAACTTTCTGGGACACAGATTAGACCCTGCCCTGCCCCCCCCCACTAGGATTAGCCCACCAGTAAGTGTCCTGCTACATTTTATGACAATGTTGATAGATGCCAAGCTGATTTTAAAAGTGGGTAGGTGTACATAAAGACTAATAAAAAGATATCTTCCAAGTAGGCAGAGAGCAAGCAAATCTCCAAAGAATTCATGAGAGTTTAAACGCATTTTAAAGTCTGGTTTACTCCTGTACATCACTTGATATTGCTAGTTACCTAGATGGTTAAACAATTAAGCTATCCAGCAAGTTAGAATTATATTTTAAATGCTACATTCCTGCCCCTTAAGAGCACAAGCCTCCACTCAGAATTCCACAGTATACATAAAAGTTTAAGCTATTCACTGCCTAATTCACAGACGCAATGGGGACACCAGGCTAGAGCCTTAGGTCCCAAAACTTTAACCCTCACCCTTCAGTCATGACTTAAGGGTTTCACTTGTTACCTGAAACCAATTCTTAGGGTCTCAGAATTTGGTCCAAATTTTGAAAATGTTCTTATTATTTAATTCTTCCCCTACAACTCAAAGACTGTCCTGTGGACTATGATGTAAGCCACACAAAACTTCTTCAGCGTTCCCAGGTGCAAGCGCACACTGTCACTGAAGGCATCTACAGCTGGTGTCTCCGTCACAGGCATTACCTCTCCATTTTCACACTACTCTTCAAGAAAGCTGGCTCCACCAGCTACCGCCTCTCCTTTAGTCAGGTGTGGGACAGACAATGAGGCATGAGTCGGCATTAGAATGTAGAGGGGCGAGAAGGGGGAGGCAAATTTTACCTGCCAGAGTGATTAGCATGTTGGCGGTTCTCAGAAGTTACATGCATTTGCTGGCTTGATTCCAAGAGCTAAATCTGACAGCAGGGACTTAGAAAGGCAATCTAGGAGACAGGGGCGGGGTGGGGGGGAGGGCCTTTTAACGGTGTTGGGCTGCCACCCCTAAGCGAGGATTCAGTCAGGGGAGAGGCTACATCTTAATGACTTACCTCAACTTCCACCTTTGTGAAGAGCTGACAGAAAGTAAGCACACACAACTGGATGCTGAAAAGAAGAAGAGAGAAGGTATTCTCAGACAGCCAGGCAGGCACCATCTGTGATTTACACCCAGGCATCCCCGCATCACACCGCATGCACAGCTTGCACTTAACTAGGCTGCACTCTAGCCAAGGCCCCTCTTTTTCTGGGTGAGACAACCAGTCTTGTTATTGAAAAACTAAATCACCAAACACCATCACTGTGCCGGATTGGTGGAGTGCAAGGAATAGCTCAAATAGACCAAACCTCAGGTTTGCAGTCTCCTTGACAGCACACGCTCACTCTAAGTCTCGAGAGAGAATACCCAGTCTGCTTTAATATATGTAAATGTGGTTGGGAAACAGAGCTGGGAGACTGTCTACTCTCCCAGAGAACCTAGCTTGAGTTCCCAGCATCCAGATGGCAGTGTGCACCTGTCTGTAATTCCAGTCCCAGGTGATCCGATGCCCTCCTCTGACCTCCATGAGCAATAGACATGCGCGTGGTACACAGGGACACACGTGGGCAAAACCCTATACATGTCAAGTCAAAATTAAAAAGTCTAAAATAAGCTATAAAGGCTTATAAGTGTGTTCACAGGAATGCGCCTTAGTACACTGAATTTCTAAATTCTTTGGGTAACAACTTTCAAAATGTCAGTGAGATTTTTTTCCTTATAATCACAAATTTTACCAAAGTTGTCTCAGTAATAAGGTTGAGCTATGGGGAAATGTCCTGAAAACTCGCAAATTTCATTGTAGATCTGGACAAAGGGCTTCTCTAAGTGGTTGACCAACCCATCAACAATAGTTTTTTTGAGACAAATGTCCTTCCTTACAGCTTTCTGAGATTTAGACGCTGAGCCGGATGTCTGGAGGATTTTCAGTTTAGCCTCTTTAGACAGCTGACCCAGAAATCAGGCAGAGTGGATCAGACCATGGGTTTGAGAAAACAACCAATCTTTTTTTTTTTAATTTTTATTTTTTTTGCTGTAAAAAAATGAAAGAATAATTTACCTGTAAAAAGTGATCTGCAGGGACTAACTAAAGTGAGTTAGGGTTCCCACAAGGAATACTGGCTACAGATGGATGGAGGGTGTTCAGCACCCTCAGCTGTGTACCCACTGGTCAGTCCACCAGGCTCCAGTGGATAGTTATAAACCCGAGGTCCTACAGACAGCTCTGGTTAAACTCAGTCACAGAATAAGCAAAAAGACATGAATGTAGGAAAGGGGACTTGTACAGAGGAGGACAGGTTGATGGGGTAGGGAGGGAAGAGGGTGAGGAATGACATACTCAGAATGCATCACGTATGAAATGGCCAAAAAAATTTAATGAACTTCCTATTTTAAAAAAAGAAGGGATTTGGGAGTTCCATTTAGGAGTTGCAGAGTTAATTATGATATGGAAATGTGACTGTGGCCACGCTTACCATCTGAAAGGGGAAAGGAAGACTTTTTACTACGCATAAGCTCCAAGTCACACCAACCTTTCTTAACCATGATCAGTTTTCTCTTGAATGTTTTCTATTATTATGTTGTATCTGAGTGTTTTGACTGCATGTATGTCTGTGCACCGTGTGTGTGTGTGTGTGTGTGTGTGTGTGTGTGTGTGTGTAGTACCCAAAGACACCAGAGAGGTCATTGAATGCCCTGGAAATGGAGGTGCAGACATTGATTATGAGAGGCCATGTGGGTGCTGGGAATTATACCTGGATCCTCTGCAACCAAGTAGGAGGAAAAGGGCCCCAAGCGCACCCAATTTTATTTTTTCCTTCATTACACACTCCCCAGGCTAGAAAGCTGTATTCCTAAGCCACTCTCCGTTCTTCCCCTACCCACTTCCAGAAAACGTTCTTCTACTTGACCTTCACAACCACCCAGACTGCTGCACGATGACAAAGCCACGGTCTCCACAGGACACCTAGTCTAGAGGTGCCCAATGGATGGCATGCATTAGAAGATACAAGTTGGTACCCACTGAAATTCCAGACACTGTGTTTCTGAGATGATCATGGACCACTTGTTTCTTTGAGGACTTTGGTTGTGCAAGAGTTAAAAACTAACAATTCAAAACTAGTAGTGGCATGGAACGTCAAAACTGGCTCCTTGAGAAGTGGAAGATCACACATTCCATACATTATGTAACACATTTCCTTCCTCATGTCTTGTTTCTAGCACTACGTGCCAGAGTCGGTGAAGCTCAAAAGGAAAATGTGCGTTCTATATGCAGTGACGTTTGTTCAGCTGCCCTTACGTTATCTTTCTGATTTACATACTATTTCAGAGAAATGTCTGCACACACACAAAAGGAGAAATACACACACTCTCCCCGTCTCCGTTTTCCAAAGGTCAAGAGAGTGTACACATGATGTGTGAGAAGCTAGAGCGTGCTAGAAAGCAATGCAGGTTTCCTCCAATACTCCCATTGGCAATGTTACTGGGTAAGGTCCCTGGGGAAGATTTTCAAACCCACATTTGCATGGCTCTCACTGAAATTTAAGTAGGCTCACACCTTTCTAGAGGGAGCCAAACAAAAGGTCCTGGAAGAAAGCTGGAGTCTACCTGTTTCATTGACTTCAGCCTGCTCAATGGTGACAACACGCCTTACCTCTCTAAGAGCTCCAGAAACTGCTGATCCCTGCGCTTTGAGGATCTGGGAATGGAACAGAAGTCTTGGGGAGCCATTTCCTCAGCAAACAGACGTGCCACCCCAGTGTCAGGTCCCGAAACTGATGTAATCTAAACTGCTTAAACTAACCTCATAAAATCCAAACAGAGGGCGGGATACTAAATCTACAGTGGGAATGAGAGAAAGATTCAAGCTAAAGCAAGATGGGAGCCAGGGCCCTGGAATGTTCCCTACAAACTGGTCGATAAAATCGTGAAGCTGACAGACAGCTAGTTTTCCTCAAATGGTAGAACAGACATGAGTCTCACTGGGCAGTTAGTAGGCAAGAAAGTGATATTGTTCCTAGAGATATGGCTAAAAGATTAAAGATTGATTAGAAATGTTTACTTTTACAAAAATAAGACTTTTTTTTAAAAAGAAGAAATAAATGCTATTTCTTTTCTTCAGTAAGATAGTTTGCATAAACTATTAAACTATATGGGACTTACAATGTATATCCTTGCCATGTCCAGGTCACAGTATCCTAAAACAACAGAAGCAGACAAACAGTCAGTCTAGACTAGGACACACACCTGTAATCTCAGCAGAGGAGAGATGCGGGCAAGTAATCATTTTTTAGCTACACCATGAGTTCAACACCAACAAGGGCTACCTAAGACCCTGCCTCAAAAATAAATAAAACAAAACAAAAATTAAACAAAATAATAAGGCTTTGTTTAGTATTAAGATTCATGTTTCTTGGAACAAAAGCAACGTATCGAAAATAATAAATTTGTGATTATTAAAGGATGTGAACTAATGCACAAATTCCTGAACTACACAGGTTATATAGCTACACAGAGATCATTTCCCAACTTTATATGTCTTCACGGAACAACTTGTTCTGAATTAAAAATAATTGTTGTACATGTTCAGTTATTTTTCTCCCCAAATGAGCATATCTGAAAAATTAATTTGTGTGCATATGTAATATATATAATTTCTCAAGTATAAAAATGATTATTTAAAAGAAAACATCAAAGCAGCATATAGTAAAAGAATTTTACTATATAAAAATTCAAATATATAGGCAGGAGCCAGAGTAGTAGCTTGATGTACTTTAACCCTTTTTTACTGGACATGCTCAAGCTGAGAAACCAGCCATTAAACAGAAAGCTGAACTGGCCAAGAACTTATAATCTTAAATAGTAAGTATTACAGTTACTTCTGCCTTTTTATAACCCTCTGGTAGGGTCCTTTCAGGATGAACCCAGCGTCAGGGGAAGGGCCATACAACTGATGTCCAGAGGATTACAGTCTGACCCCAATGTCTGGGGAAGGGCCGTATAACTGATGTCCAGAGAACAGTGCGACCAGGTGATGCAGAAGACACTGTTTCCTGGAGCAGCCTTAAACTTTAGAGAAGAGGGGAAGTTCTCTAGGACTTAATTAATCATGCTGCTTCCCAAGGCTCTGGCCTGCACTTACTTCCTCCCCCGGGTGAATCCTCCTCTACTTCCAGCCTTCCTCCCACTAAGTCACCTCGAAAAAGGTTCCTTGTCGAAAAAGGTTCCTTGTCGCCGGGCGGTGGTGGTGCACGCCTTTAATCCCAGCACTTGGGAGGCAGAGGCAGGCGGATCTCTGTGAGTTCGAGACCAGCCTGGTCTACAGAGCTAGTTCCAGGACAGGCTCCAAAACCACAGAGAAACCCTGTCTCAAAAAACCAAAAAAAAAAAAAAAAAAAGAAAAAGGTTCCTTGTCATCTCCACAAAAATCACAACTTCCTGCTGTCGGGTATAAGCAGAGCCTACATATGAGACATAATCTGTCCGTCCGTAACAGAGATGGCACAGCAGAGACCAAGCAATACCCTCTTGGAGCTAAGTTATACAGAATGACACTTAGTTCTGCTATCACAGATAGCCGTTTATCTTGCAAAATATATATATAAAAAAAAGCCAACCCAGTGGCAGGTGGCCTCAGTCTACCCAATTGCTTCTTTCATTCAGCCATTCATCAATCAGATATTTAAGAAGGTCTTATTTAAGAGAATAAGCTATTTGGAGAGCAGAACTCTTCCCTTACCAGCTTGTTTGGGTATCTGAGGAGGATGGGCTGCACTGGAACTCCTGGAATGAAGGCTCCTGGAATCACATCGGGATTGTTAGCATGGTTTGTACAGGAACAAGAAGTATATAATAGCAAAAATTGTATAAATACACTGATGGCTTAGGAGTAGACAAAACATGAACCATGCTGAAATATTTACGAAAATGAGTCATCACAAGTCAGACCTAAGGCAAACATTAAATGGTATGCTCAACCGTGTAAGCATATATTTATTCACTGTTTCCTTTGATAAAGAAAATTAAAGACATTTATTTCAAAACAATTCTTTAGGATACACATAATTTGTACCATTTTTATTTATTTTAGGGGTTGTTTTCATTTCCTAAATGTATGCTACCCAACAACATAAGAAAGTCATGGTAAAATCAAGGAGAGAATAAAATCCAAGAGAAAATAAGAACTAAAATGCTGGAAGCAAAGCCATTATGCTGGCTTGAAGTGAGGCACACACACCTTTGGTGCGGAGCACACTAGCAGCCAACATAAACAGCCTAGCGTGTCACAAGTTAAAAGGCATATCCATGGCTGCCCTCTTAAGGTTGAAAAAAAAAGAGTGAACTTTGGAAGGCATGTAAAAACTTGAATGATATTAAGGTAGGCTGCCTACTTTATGAAAGAAGACTCCAGGTATCTATGAGGGTCTTTGGAGGAAAAAGAAAAACGTCAGTGCCTTTTGAGCATGCACGCACATATATACAAATAGACACACATAGACAAACTAACACACACAGACACACACTCACACGCACATACACACACCCCACTGAAAGGAAAAGCCTATGTCAAAAAGGAGAGGAAAGGAGTAAATAGGAATACGTTCTGTGGAATCATAGCATCAGAAAGGTTTTATAAGAAAAAGAATGCCAGGAGCAACTGAGTTGCATTGTGCATCACAATCGAATCATTTGAGAAATCTCAAATACTACATTGTTACAAGGCATAATTTAATTTATCTCACCTGGTTTAAAAGTAATCAAACAGGAGCGATTAGTACAAGTACCTTCTGGGAAAACAAGTATCTTGGGAGAAAAGGAATAAATTTAATATTTCAATCTAATTAATAGGCTACCTCTTTATTCTCCTATGACGTCACCAACACCGCTAATGCTTCCAAAATTAAATAAAAAGCTAACTCATGATTCTAACAAAAACTGGAATCAGATTGTTCCATCTTCGTCGAAAAGGGGTACAGTTTGACTAGTCTAATAATTAGAAGACAATTAAAGCTTTAAATAAATAATACTCTTAGTTTACAGAATATGTGGCTTACTTCTGCTTCCTTTTACATTTGTTTCTGAAAGTTTTTATTAGTGATCTGAATAAATTTAAAAGAAGACATATAGCAAGGTTATATCCTTAACCTAAAGAAATCTTTGTGTTTTAGTTTTCTCATTAAATGCTATTTATTCCCAGTCTATATTTCGGGGAGGCCTTGAGAACAAAGGAGGAAACGCCTGTGACACGCCTTCTGCTCAGCTGCCTTGGCTATCGTGCGGGACAGACGTCACAGCTTGCTCTGCCTGTCCTGAGGAGGCATTTTAGCTGTTAATGTTTTACTTGGCGTTTTCTCTGTGAAAGACGTACAAGCACTGTGAGCTTCTTCTCCATTAGTTAAGACACAAGATTGGTTTTCTGAGGCTTTTAAAATTTAGTCATGAGTTAGCTGCTAAGTATATAAAACCAAATCAAATCCCTGTACTCAACGCAGTTAGTGATATATGATCTACAGTAATTAGAGAGAGAAAACATTGGCTCAAACTACAAACTAAAAATTAATGAGTGGGCAGAATTCCATCCTCTGATTTATAAAATGGGTTTCCTGTGACGAGCAGACACAATGGCCAACAGTTTTACTTGGCATAAATCCACAAATAGCTTACTAACAAGGAATGCTAACAAAACGAGTCAGAAATCTCAGGGAAGACGGAACACTCAAAATAGCCTCGTGGTTCTAATGTTTAAATTATTTCCACCAGTCTCCTCCCCTCACCAAGTGGCTGTGACTCAGCACCTGAGAAGGATTGCAAAGCAGGCCATTTTTATCCCTGGACGGGGAAAAAGTTCTGCAAAACGAGAAAAAAAAAATGAGCTGAAAGCTATCTTCTTGTTATCTCTGGCCTACTAATCTTAGACCTAGTTCTTGGAGCCAAAGAGAAAGTCTAACTTTCCCAAATGCTACCTCACTTGTTTTTAAGCTCTACCTCTGTTGCCTTGGTTTCTAAAGCCTCCAGGGTTGGTGCACTAGAATGTCTACTTGTTACCACGGGTGGGCCGACCACTGTAGCACACTGTCCACTAGAGATCACGTACTTTCATCTCGGCAAAGATACACGGGTGGTTTTCGCAATCATCCCTGCTCTATGCATACTGACCTCCAAGGGCCTCCCAGGGAAGGGGTGGGAGTTGGTGAGGTCTGATAGGCTTACAGGCTATTTTCACGTGCCCTTGAATGGAAAGCTCCACTTAAACATAATTCAGAAAAGAATTGGCACACTTAGGATATTTTTCGTCAAGTGAATTAAATTATAGAAAATATTTATTTTATTTAACAGGAATTAAATTCAGAGAATCATTTGTTATAACACAAAGAAAATATCTGGCGACTAAAAGGGAATGGGATGTGCTAGGGGCGGGGTCTTCACACTGACTGGTTTGTTTATCCTGCGTCTATTATGCTGTGGACACGTGGCGTGACATCTCGCTCTCTGTGAACCCGAATGAGTAAGTCTACAGACACACAAAAGCTCTCCATGTAGATGAATGACTCCTGCATCTTACCTGGGGCCACTCCCCTCCGGATGTCGCCCGCTTTCTGATTTCATTTATTGTGTTTTTTCGGGAATCTGGGTCAACACGGGACACCAAAACTGGCTGCACAGCCCGTAACAGTCCTTGAAAACAAAGTCATAACCCAGTCATTTTTCTTAAGCCACCATGGCATTAACACCGGGTTCGCTGAAAGAATCTGTTTACAGAAAATGAAAATGTTAGCAAATCTAAAAGAATGATACTTTTCAAACCGAATTCCAAGTTGCCTAGTTAGATTCTAATCTCATATGCAGAGATGGGTATTTCTTCATTGATTTTACAGAAGTTAGCAGAAGGGATGGGGGTGTAGAAGGGGAGGAAAAACAATTTTTGTTTCCTAAGAGTCTTTTCTCTTAGTGGATGTTAAACTGTGGGACTAAGCTTCAAACTATCACGTTTGATTTTAGGAGGACCTTAAATGCTCGTAGTATGAATCGACAGTGTGCGTGACCAGAGGGCAATTACGACTGATTTTTACTCAAATCCCTCTGAAGATATGGCTCCCCATCACATGCTAAATAAACGTGAAGTGATCTGCAAGGGAAATGTTTAGGAAAAAGCCATAGTGCAGAAAGCACGGTAGTTGCACGCTGAAGAAAAAGAAGTGTCCTCACTCAATGACAAAGCTACAAGGACTACTGTTCTTCCCGGGGAACACTAAGACAACATCCAGCAGCTTTCACACCCCCTCGCTCAGCGCTAGGTGCTTGCGGTGCTTGTGGTAACCTTGGGACAACCGGGAGCAGTTTACTTGGAGACTGATTCCTCAGGGAGAGATAGCAGCATCTGGCAGGAAAAACATTTCACGCGCTTCATTATTTTTTATGGCAGGAAGCACTTATTGTTCCACATCATAATTTTCAAGGAGTTACATAAATGTCCCTCGGGGAGCTATAGGGGCACAATGATTTAGAAAACAGAGCTGGAAGAAAAGACGTAGCACATTCATCAGCCTAATGCCATGAAGAGAGGTTAGTGAAATAGCATGCGACCTGTGTTTTTCAGATTCTTTTTAAAAAAATAATTAAGCATGTTTAGTATCCGAAATCTGATTTTCCTTATGACACGTAGGAACACAAAGATATGGCGGCATTGTGAAAGTACAAGTTCCCTAAACGTCTAAAGATTAGGGGACATGTCTAATTTTTTTCTTTACATTTAAATAAAAGGGAATACATTTAAAATCTTTTAAAGTTTTATTTTCAACTGGCTGGGAATTTTGCTCAGTATTAGACTATTTGACTTTCATGAACAAGATCAGGGGTTGACTACTCAGGAATGCAAGCAAATAAGTATACAGAAAATGATGATACATGATTCTTTCTACGTAAACTGCGCACATGATAAGATCTAAGCTGTTACCCTGCTGGTACTTACTGCCAACCACAGGGGTCTGTGCGTTCTCATTGCGTGATACCAGAGAAGGCAGCCCAGCTACAATGCAGGCAATTCCATCAAAGAACGTTGAATGAGGGGCGACGACAAAAATGGGGGCTTCCGAGGGGCTCGCGATCTTCCCCTTCACGGTCACCATAAACCCCATCGAGAAGAACAAGGCGCGGCCCAGAAACTTCAAAGCTGGATGAGCAATCTTCCTTTGAAAACAGTGGTAGAGAAGACGTGTTTGGCTTTGCTTTACTCTAACTCCAGTTATCAGGCTTGGCAGCAAGCATCTTTGCCTTTTGAGCCATCTCGCCAGCCCCATTAACCTCATTATTCAAATTTAATCTTATTTATATGTAGCTTTATCTGTGTATGTCACAGACATATGGACGCCCAGGGAAGCCAGAAGGGTATCGGATTCCCTGAAGCTGAGTTACAAAGGGGAGGTCAATGACCCAGTGTTGTCCTCTGGAGGAAGAACCAACAGTCTTCACTCTTGAGCCACATTTCCATGTCCTCATTTTGAGGCTAAGAGAACTGAGGCACAGAGAAGCAATTTATCCAGAGATACATGGCTAATAAAGAACTCCATTATTCTCTAAGCCTGAAATGATCATAAGGAATCTTCAAACTACATCCCACACTGAGATCACCAACATCAGTACTGGCCGTAGGAAGCAGTCATCTTGGGAATGAATTTCTCCTGCAAAATGAATGTGCTATTGTCTACCCAAACAAGAAGTCTCATGCTAAATTAATTTAGGAATAATTCTTAGAGATAAATCTCATAGTGTGATCACCTTTAGGCACCAAGATATAAAAATAGATAAAATAATAAATAATAAATAAACTCACTGTTGCATTCCACTGAACTTAGATACACAAGAAAGTCCAGAAGCCTCCTTATTTACTTTTTAAAAACAGTTTAAGATAGACTAACATTAAAGATTAATTATCTGAGCTGGCAAGATGGTTCACCAGGTAAATTCATTTGCCACTAAGTATGACGACCTAAGTTCAATATATAGAACCCACAAAGGAGAAAGGAACCAACTATGACCTCTGCGTGTGTGCAGTGGTATGTGCGCACATGCACACACACATATACACACAAAACAGTGTAAAAAAGATCATCATCACACTGTGTAAAGAGCTATGCTGGACACTTAAGACAAGTAAGTTCCAGTCTCTCAATTAATATGCTTAAATAAGCAGGGAAGCTGAGTTCCAGGACAGGCTCCAAAGCGGCACAGAGAACCCCTATCTTGAAAATACGAAAGAATAAAATAAAATAAAAAAGTAAAAATAAGTAAATGAATAGAGAACAAAAAATATTCTCATATATATTTAGATTCCAAAGCACAGAATGGGCATCTCGGATATGAGCAAACACACATTATGGGGCATCCAGACATGGCATGGCTCTTACTGGCTTGAAATAAGAACAGCTGTAAGCTGAATGGTGGTGCTCGCCTTTAATCCCAGCACTCGGGAGGCAGAGGCAGGCGAAACTCGTAAGTTCGAGGCCAGCCTGGTCTACAAACCTACAAACTGAGTTCCAGGATGGCTAGGGCTACACAGAGAAACCCTGTGTTGAAAAACTAAAAAAGAAAAGAAAAGACCAGCTGTAATGATCCCAACAAGCCCCTCACAGACTGGGCCCACTGTACTCCCTCATGGAGAGGCGAGAGTGCTCACAAGACACGCGGCGGTGCATGGAAGCTTCAGTCTCACTAACGGCTCACTTACGTACCCTTCCCTCCAGATACAGAAGCGAAAAGCAACTGCTGGGGTGGAAGTGGGGCTTGCACCTTTTCTGTGGTGCCCTCGCCTCCCTTAACTGTACCTTCCGTAGGCAACCTCTCCTCCATCCTCCAGTAAGCACCCCCCCCATTAAACTCACTGCTTCCCTAAGCTAGACTTGGGTGGAGAACCATCTCTTTGGTCTGTCATCAGTGTCCTATTTGCATGAATAGACCTTTGTTCACATCTCTACTTAACAAAACAATACGGCTTTTCATGGAATGTAAAATAAAATACGCACAGCCATCCTTTAGTAATCGTGGAGAACAGACTCCACAGCCTGGCGAAGAGCAACACCCACAAATGCGCAAGCCTTTCATATAATGCCATGATGCATATGCTACCCATACTGTCCTGCAGACTGTCAAACACCTCTAGAGTGTTGATAATACCTAAGATAATACGAACGCTATGCAAACAGGTCTGATAGTATACTGTTTAGGGACCATTAATAAGTAAACAGTATACAACTGTTCAGTAGAGATGTAATCTTTTTTCTGAGCTCTTTGCTCCACAGTTGGTTGAACTGCAGATGCAGAACACACTGCTGACTATATAGCACCCATTAGGTATTGGCAAGAACTTGAAACACTGAGTTTCTAATTTTCTTGGCCAGTGAAAGTCTTCTAGTAACTAGCCAGAGAGGAAGCTTCTGCAGTGCTGACCTCCCAAGAAGTGAGGCCCAGTAAAGCACAGTGCTTTCCGAAGGGCACGGGTAAGTGACAACCTCTCCCTTTAGTCTAGAGGCAAGCACTCTACTCATACAGAAAGAACTCTGCTGTGCTTGTCATGCTATTTAGCTATAGCGGTACAGCTTCTAAGAAACATATTTCAAGAAGTCAGACCCTTTAATGACTCCACAGGGGGAAAGAGCCATGTAAACCTGATGAGCTGAGTTGGAGCTCCAGAACCCACTTAGAAGCCAGCTACAGCAGGGTGCATCTGTAATCAGAGCACATCTATGGAGGGACGGGAGGTGGAGACAGTGAGCTAGTGAGCATGGACTATGCTCTCATCACAGAGACATGACACAGTATACCTCAAACAAGGGGAAAGATGAGAGTCAACTCCCAAATGTCCTCTGACACCCACATGTGTGCTGTGGCACACACACATGCGAGTATGTGCACGTACATACACAATTAAGAAAAAATTTAATAGCTAAAAGTCTTGTGCCACATAATAACTTCAAAATTATTTGCATGAGAGGAAACAGAGATGCTGATTTAACTGACAAAAGTACCAGTTTTCTAAAGCAAAATCAATAAAATATTGAAAAGAACACTTCTAAGTTTTTTCTAGATTCTTAAACTATTCCTTCCCTCGCCCTACATTTTTGTGAGCCAGCGACTCTAAAACCAAAGAAAGAATCTGAAAGCAGAGTGAATCACGGAAAGCAGCCCATGAAGAGTTGCTTTATACTGTGAATCCTCGAGCTATAAAACAAACAAAGAGATGTGCAGGGGTTGAGTTTTCTCTTGGGCGCTGCAGACACTGCATTCATTTCCACTTCAAACCAGCCTTGTTTTCCATATTCGCATTTGTTCCCTGGGACAAGAACCAAACAGCAAACCGCACACTTCTGTTAAAAGCTGTAGAGCAGTAGTTCTCAGTCATTCTGGAGGGCATAACCACATTTGAGATCTGCATAGAACCAACAACACATCCTTTCATCTGGAAAAAAGCGAGCGAGCAAACAAACACCACGCACACACACTTTCAGGAGTTCATGAGTGTCCTAAAATAAATGCATGGGTTGCAACCTACTGGAATCCATGGCGTACACAGGAAGCAGGTCCATGTACAATAGGTACAGATGGTAATAACCCGATCCTGCCAAACAGTAATGGCTTCCACCAGTATATTCTACTTATTCTTGCCCAGGCTGCTGTCTAGAACCATGCTAATTAGATAATTCTAGAAATTCTAGAAAAGCAGTTCCATTCGCCTTAGTGCTAACATTTAAAAAATGCTAGGCTGAGTGTTAATTAAAGTTAATATTAACCAAAAAAAAAAGTTAATATTAACCACTAACATAATTACTAAAAAATAATATAATCAATCCACTTAACTGTATTATTGCAGAAGGTACATTGTTGTTACCTCGAAGGAAAAGTAAATGTGAAAATTTGGAAATACAAAAGAAAGCCAAGTATTTTATAGTTATAATGTTCCAAAGAATACAACAGACTGTATTAGTCAGACTGTATCGGTGTATCACAAGGCCCAAAGCAAGCAGCTAGGAAGGAAGAAAGATTTATCTTTTAGCTCATGGCTTTAGAGGTTTCAGTTAACAGTGACCAGTTGTGTTCCGGGGACATGGTGAGATGGGGCTTCACAGTGAGAGAATATGGCAGATGCTACTCACCAAACAGTAGACCGGAAACACAGAAAGCGAATATAGAAAGGGGCTATCTCCTCCTTCCTCAGGACACACTCCTAGTAACCTAATTACTCCAACTAGGCTAGGCCCTTCCAGATTTTCACTACCTCCTAATCATGCCGCCATATTTTGATCCATCAAGAGATTAATCCTTTAGTGAGGGCACAGCCCTCAGGATACAGTCACTTCCCATTGGCTGCCAACAAAGATGCTAGTACATGAAGTGACTGGAGACATTCATTCCATGTAAAAACACAACACAGGGACTCTTTCACAACCAAAGGTGCATATCCTTCACAATAATTCAGAAAACAAAATATTTTAACATTGAGAAATTATACTTCTGTGAGTTCAAGGCTAGCCTGGTCTACAAGAGCTAGTTCCAGGACAGGATCCAAAGCCATAGAGAAACCCTGTCTCAAAAAAAAAAAAAAAAAAAGAAAGGAAAAAAATTTACCTTGAACTGAATATTATCAGAATGTGCCTATGTGATAATTTCTGAAAAAAATCAAGATCATTTCCATGCAAGAAACAAATATAAACTATGAAAACTGAGAAGCAGCAAGATACTGAAGAAAGAACAATCAGATAGTCACTGAAGGAACTAGAATCAAAACTTAAAATTTTTGCCTTGTATAATATTTGGATATAATTATCTCTTACCTCCTCCAACCACTGATCGGATGGGTCAACTTTTCAGGGCAGCATGCTGTTGCAATTGCAGCAAATGGCCATGCCAGGAACAAAATTAATGCAACCAATATTACACGGACTGGAAGCAGAATTATTCCAAGAAGAAAAATCTACAAATCAAAGTTGACAAAAACAAAAAAAGATAAATGGATGTTATTTAAATATATCACTACCAAACACAAAAGCGCAATAGGAAGGTTTTGGCTTCATGCATATACTCAAGAGGAATTAAATGCTGTCTTTTATCACACACACACACACAAACACATACATACACACACACACACACACACACATACAACATGACATTTGATCTCAATGGGCTACTTCTTGCTGGGCATTGTAGTATGTTAATCCCAGCATTCTCCAGGTAGAAGCAGGCAGATTTCTATGGGATCTATATGAATTAGAGGCTAGCCTGGTCTATATAGTGAGTTCCGGGTCATCAGGGCTACATTATGCGACCCCGTCGCAATAAACAAAACAACAACAATACAAAAGGCAAAAGAAGCAGTGAGGAGAACCATGGGATTCTGATCTGGATGTTCATGAAAGGGGATGGAGGATGCTGGTAGAACGAAGAAAAGGTGGTGTGACTTAGGAGCCAGAACAAGCTTCCTGGGGGAGTGGTATCCTGAAGAGTCCTGCAAAAGCAGAAGGTGCTGCCGAGCCTTTGGCTCTAGCTACTGGAGAGGCTGAGGCAGGAAGAGTGAGTTCAAGGCTGCCTAAGCTAGGAAGAGAAGGGAGCTGGAGCTCGATGCCTCAGTGAGAAAGTGTTTGCCTAGCATGCATAGCTCCTGCAGTTGGTCCCAGAGTGCTTGCCTAACATGCATAGCTCCTGCAGTTGGTCCCAGCATAGCTAAACACAAAGCAAGCAGATGCTAGCAAGGCAAGACAGTTACACTGTTTCCCAAAAGCCTATACAGGAAGAAGAGTGGGAATAAAAGCATTAGTGAATGACGGATTGTTCTGCTTCCCATGCCTGCCAGTGCCATGTAACTAAGCAATAAGGAACTGGAGAACAGAATAAAAATAAAAAGTAAATAAGAATAAAGAGTACATGAATAAGACCAGTAAATCATATGTAAATGTATACTGTGTGTCAGGTATATGGCATAGTGATTCATTTAGTTCTTAAGATCTTAAATTGCTTTACATGAAAAGAATGCCATGGATAAATTAAATCACAATAAAATCATGTTCATATCAACAGAAGTGGGACCAAATTTATATTTAAAACCTTTACTCCTAATCCTTACACCATCCGGCCTTTTAGGTGAACAGTCATTATGTATAATAACCTTTTTTTCTATAAATTAATTACATGATCCAAACAGCGCCATCTGTCTTCTGCCTGTAGTGTCCTCAATGAGAACCTAAACATCATCAAATAACTTACAAAAATGCCCACACTATTCTAGTTATCTTAGTTGCTGCGGTTTTCAAGAATGACTTCAGTTCAAGGGGTGGTGTGTGATCTCTATGTTTTTCTTCTTCACCTTATTTGAAGATATTTCTAGATTCTCAAATTTCCATAGAAGTTTAGAATTCCTCATTCTACATACATTCATACACATTTTTATTGAAGTTACAATGAATTTGGAGATTATCTGGAAGGACTTGTCATACTGATAATATTGGGTTTTCCAATTTATAAATATGCTACACTGACATGTCTCAATTTCTCAAAGCACTATTTTGTTGTTTCTAGTATAGCAACCAGACATGGTTTTAACTAAATATACTTCTAAATATTCTTCTTGCTGTTATTATATATAGGACTTTTTGCAATTGTTTGATGTAAATACAAAATTGGTTTTTAAATGTATGGGGATTTTTTTCAAACATATGGGTCATTCATTCATTCATCGAGACAGGATTTCCTAAGTAGCCTGGCAGCCTTTGAACTTGTTATGTAGACCAGCTAGCCTTGCGCTCACAGAGATTTTCCTGCCTCTTCCTCCTGAATGCTGGCATTAAATATGTGCACCACCACACCCAGTCAGTTTTTGATCTCTAATATAGTTTGGTACAGTCAGGGAACATATTCTGTAATATGTCAATCCTTTGATATTTTCAAGACTTCTTTCCTGCCAACAGTTGGTCTGTTTTGGAAAGTTCTCAGTATCCTACAGCTGCAGGAGACAGTACCCTACAAATGTCCCTTTAGGAAAGGTGTTCACTATTGTTCTTCAGCTCTCAGACTTTAATAATCATCTCTGCTCTGTTTTTTCTATCAGTTACTAAGAAATGAGTGTTAGTATCCTCAAAGTGGAATTTTCGTTTGTTTGTTTACTAGCCCAGTTCAGTGTGCCACCGAAAACGTTGGAATGACTCCTTGGCTAAACTGTCTTGTGATTTTGGCCAGCAGGTGCTCTGAGAACGATAGCATGTACATTGAATAAATGACAACTCAGAATTAAAACTATACCAGTCCACACACAGTGCAAGACAAACCAGAGCAAGTCCATCCTTTCAGAATTCTTCATGATGCTTCACATCTACGTATATGTACACTTGAGAAAATACTGTCAGATGTCTGCATTAAATGTCATATTTTATAGTTCTTTGGTTAAATTAAGAAGAAGAAAAATGAGTTTTATTTACTAATTCCCAAGTATTATTTCCAATAGTCTCCACCTTTCCTGTGGATCTGTGCTTTGATTTGATATGATTTAGCGTGTTCCTACAACTGGAAAAACGTTCTTTATCTCTTTCTTTTACAAAATTCACACCTACTTATTTATTTGTGTGTGTGTGGTATAGTGTGTGTGTATGTGTGGTATATGATGCATGTGTGTGGGTGTGTGTGGCATATGATGCACGTGTGTGTGGTATATGATGCATGTATGTATGGTGTGGTGCGTGTGTATGGTATATGGTACACACGTGTGTGTATGTGTATGTCAAATGTGTGCTCAAACATGTGTATGCAAACTACTGCGTATGTGTGGAATTCAGAGTCAGTTTCTACCACCCAGGTTCTGGGAAAACCAACTTACATAGTCAGACTTAGCAGCATGAGACTTTTGCTGAGCCTTCTCCACAGCTTCTTCTTTCTTCTTTTTTTTTTTTTTTTTTTGTAATGCATATTGAATTCAGGGCCACAAGCAGTTTGACACTGTGGCACCAGTGAGCTACACAACTCTAATCCGCAAGCAGTTTTTCATTGTTTTTTTTTTCTTTTAATTTGTTTTGCTTTTGAGACAGTGTCTCTCTGCATAACTCTGTCTGTCCTATACCTCATGAGATCTGTCTGCCTCTGCCTCCAGAGCACTAGGATTAAGGTGGGTGCCACCATGCATGGCTCCGTTTTCTTTTCTTTCTTTTTTGATTTTTTTTGTTTGTTTGTTGTCTTTCTTTCTTTCTTTTTTTTTTTTTTTTGAGACAAGGTTTTTCTGTAGTTTTAGAGCTTGTCCTGGAACCAGCCTTAGACCAGGCTGGCCTCGAACTCACAGAGATCTACCAGCCTCTGCCCCCCGAGTGCTGGGATTAAAGGCATGTCCTACCACCGCCTGGCAATTTACCATTTCTTATATTCAGTCCTGTCAGGGGCTTCCACTTCTATTCCCATTTTCAGCCCACAAGTTGAGGCAGCACACCTTCCAGAGGGGAGTGTGGATTGAGGAAAGAAATAGACAACAGACACAGTTGGGGTGTGGGGTGTGGTGGTTTCCAGTAAATACAAGTCAAAAGAAAAAAGCCAAAAAGCCCCAAGTTTATTACTCTCAGTGATAAACTTATATATCCCAAACAAAAGGAGGAGGATACAAGATTCCCATGAAACAAAGAGCAAGGAACCTTAATTACCTCCTTATACCTCCAAACACCTGGTAACCACGCCCTTAAATCAAAACATCCTGCTGACTGGCCTTGGAAGAGTGGGGCAGCCAGTAGCCACACCTTTGGTCAGTCTTGTTGTTTGTCCTTGAGGGGCAAGAACAGGTCTGAACTCTTGGACCTTCAGTCAAAACTGTGGGCCCTCACACCGTTCTTACAGCAGCCTCTCACCATTTTCCTTCTAAAACTATCTTCATTTTCTTTTAATTTCTAAGTCAAGTTTTCTTTTCATATTGTATTCATTCATTCATTCATTTATCTATCTTCTATTTTGTATGTATAGGCGTATACTGTATGTGTGGGGAAGCTTGTGTGATGTAGTGCGTGTGTAGAGGACAGAGGACATGTTGTGGGAGTCGGTCCTCTTTCCACCATGTGGGTCATGGGATTGAACTTGGGTTATCAGGTGTGACGGCAAACACCTTTACAAAGTGAGTCATCCCTCCAGCAGCCTCTCCTCATCGGTACGGATTTCTAGATTGACTTGCCTTTTATTAATGAGTCCTAGGAGTGATTTACACACTTAGGATACTATACCCTTAACAGATATGTTATGTAAAAGTACTTTCTCAAATCTTCTAGGTGATCACTTTAATTTCTTTCTTTCATTAAACATGTCTACATGGTGTCCGTGCTTGCTGTGGGCTCATGTAGGGTGGAGTAGAGATTGAATGCATTGGGAAGCCTAAAATCAATGGTAGATCACTTTCCACTTTATTTACTGGGGTAAGGTCCCTTATTGAACCCATAGCTCACTATTTTAGACTAATCTAACTGGCCGGCTTGTCCCAGGGATCCTGTCTCTTTGCCTTATTAGTATGGGATTATAGGCACCACACCTGCCCAGCTTGCTCCAGAGACCCAAACTCAGGTTGCCATGCTTACGTGACAAGGGTTTGAGCCACTCCTTGCATCCTTTAATTTCCTGTATATTTTGAAACACACAGCATTTAATTTGGCAATACCATTTATCGATTTCTCCTGCCCCACCTCGTGTGCATATGTGTCTGTGTGCATGTGTGTCTGTGTGTGTGTGTTTGCTTATTGTCTATTTTAGAAATGAATGACTAGTCCAAGGTCATTAATATTTACACCTATGTTCTCGCTTAAGACTTTCATCATTTTAACTCTCATATTTTCTCATATTTAGTTCTCTTATTAGCTTAGGCTGTTTTATATGATATGACGTGAGCTTAATTCTCTTGTACACGTTAATCCATTTATCCCAGACTTACTGAAAAGACAAGTCTTTCTCCATTGAGATGCTCCAGCACTCTTGTAGAAAAATCAATGGCCATAGACATGTGTTTGTTTCTGCACCCAGCTTTCTCCCATTGATCCATTTAGCCGGGGACTTCTGTAATTTAATTCTGTATTAGATTCCTTTTAGTGTGTGGCTACTGAAGCCTCTGATCAATTTGATAAATAGTTAATGAATACAGGAATTTCCTTTAGTGTAGGAACTAACAAATCTCCCAGTACTGGCCGAGATTTTGCTGTACATACTGAGGTATGTGTCAGTACAAGTGGCAGCTCAAAACTTAGGCTGATGCACTGTTTATACAGATCCTCCAGGTCAGTCAGAGATGAGATCTTAGGGTTTCCTGGGACCTCTCCAGAGCATGCACACAGGATCTTTTCTGTGGACCTCTATATGTCCAGAGATCTGTACTGTATTATAGGCAGCAAACAAATATTTTTGATATGAGCAAATAACCTCATAATTTTAACTAATCATTTTAATTCTAAATTCTGTTGCAGCAATAACAATTAGGCTACTTTCTTCCAAACCACAAAGTAGCAAAAGACCCTTAAATAGTTTTTAAAAATACATAACTAGGGGCTAGAGAGATGGCTCAGCGGTTAAGCGCATTTGACTGCTCTTCCAGAGGACCAGGGCTCAATTTCCAGCACTCACATGGCAGCTCATAACTGTCTGTAACTCCAGTTCCAGGAGATCCAATACCTTCGCACAGGCATAATGCGGGCAAAACACCAGTGCACATAAATTAAAGATAAATGATTTTTAAAAATACATAAATAAAGAAGGGGCAGATTTAAACTGTAAGCCCTATAATGAAATGCCCAAGTGACAATAATCTTTAGGAAGTCGCCAATCATAATTCAATATTAAAGTTAGCCTGAACCAAGTATATTGTTTTACCTAATTGATAGCAAATCTGTATTTTAACTAGATAGAATAAATATTCAACTTTATCTATGCCTATTCAATTTTTTCCTTTATCCATGCTATTCATGTTATTGAAGCACCTATGGTAACACTGATATTATGGAGAAAGGAAGGAAGGAAGAGAGAATGTCCTGACTATATCACAACAATTTAATCCATGCAGCAAATTTCAAGTAGAGGATACAATTACAGACACACAGCAGAACTGCCTATATTAAGATCAGCAAACCAGACAGGCAGTGGGGGTGCATGCCTTTAGTCCCAGCACTAGGGAGGCAGAAGCAGGTGGATCTCTGTGAGTTCGAAGCCAGCCTGGTCTACAGAGCGAGTTCCAGGACAGGCTCCAAAGCTACAGAGAAACCCTGTCTCGAAAAACCAGGAAAAACAAAATCAGCAAACCAAACTACATTATGCCACATATTACCTCATTTAACTTACTTTCATTATAATAGAATGAGAGAATGTAATAGACAGGGGAGGGAAGTGACTAGGCCAAATTTACAGACCTAACAAGTGACCAGTGCTCTTTGCCTTTTATGTGGTTCTATTGGAGTTCTTAAAAGAGCGCTCTTAGAAGATTTTTAAAAACTAATAATCTACTCAAGGTACAATACAGAGATTTAAATATGCCGCTTTGCGCCTCCCTCCAAACTCTGCACCCAAAGAAAGAGGTACCTTTTCATTTGAATAGAACTTATGGGTCTGAAGTTCATTATAAAGGATGGCAATGTGCTCGCAAGTGTTGCAGATGATCCAAGGCATAAAGAGGAACTTTGGAAACTTACTTTCTCCGCATCCTTTATCTTTCTCTTCCTCTCACGCCCCCCCCCCAACTATCATTATTCTAACCACTACCACCTCAGCCCACTGGACACTTAGCTCAGTGCTTCACAGGTCCCCTCTAGAGAGGTCACTAGTCTTAGAGCTGTATACAAAAACAATACAAAAATGGCCATTACTTCAATCCAACATAACAAAATTTATGAGATGGGCAGGGAAGTGTCAACGTTTTCATCCTCTATCTTGTTCTCCAATCACTATCCTCACCACAGAGGAAGTCAAAAAAGTGAACTAATGGTAAAAGCTGTCCTGTGCAAGATAAAGACAACTTCCTTTGTGGTGGCCATTTTCAACAGTGGCTACCTCTCTTGTCAGCTTTGAATCTAGAAAAGGTGCGCCGAGTGAAGACTGATTCAAATTAAAAAAAAAAAACTCTTTAAGACCTTCATGGGTCTGCCAGTTATCTCTTTGCTTTGCATCCCTAATTACAGCTCGGTTGTCCCTGCTTGGTTAAACCACTACAGCCTTACCTGTGTTTCCAAGGATAGACCAGGTTGTCAGCCTCCTCGCTTACTCTACCCGTACAGACGGACTCCCCTTTTTACAAAGGGCATAAAAAGGAGAGAACGCTGAGAGCTGGTAGTTTTCGATCGTCTGTGCTTCCACAAATTCGATACAAAAGTTCCTGTCCCATCCATCCCTTCTCAGGCAAAGAATAGTCCCCGATATGGGTTCTTCCTTGCTGACATCTGTGCCTTCTTGTGCCTTCACGTCTCTCGGGTCATCCCATCCCCCAGTGTCCCCAGATCTCACATCCTCCTATCTGCCCTCTCATGACCCTTCCCAGTCAGTACCACAGCTTTCTTCCTCAGATGCTTTCTCGTACCAGACTCCACACCTCAGACAGCCTCCGCCTTCAGACTCACTGTCTCCTCAGATGCCTACCCCATCGGAGTTTCAATTCCTCCGACAAATTCTGAGCCAGACACACTGACCCCTCAGAGGCAGACCTCTGATCTCCCCGGACGTCTCCTGCTTCAGATTCGTAATCCTCTTAGATGCCTCCTCCGTCAGACCCACGATCCCCTCATATTCCCTCAGACCTGCGATCCTCTTGGACACCTTCCCTCTCAGACCAGACGCCCTCAGGTGCCTCCTCTCTTGGATGCACGACTCCTCCCCAGCCTCCTCCGTCCGACCACATCCCCTCCGCCTCCATTCGTACTGCGCCTCTACCTGCAGCCATCGGGCAGCACTGATCCGCGTCTGCTGAACGAAGGGGTTGGGCACTGGCGGCGGGAAAAAGGACGCTTGGCGGGGCACCATGGGTGGCCGCAGCCCCGCGTCCCCGACGCCTGAGCCCGGCACCGTGGCCGCCACCGCGGCCGCCTCGGCGCACCGGTTCATCGTGGATTCCGGCGCCTGAAAAAGCTAGGGACCCAGAGCGCGCGGGTGGACGCTGCTGCCTGACCTCGGTCAGAGACCCACGAGAGTACCAGCCCCAGGCGCTGCTCCCGGCTTCTGCGCACGCGCCAGAGTCACCTAGCCACGGACTGCCCCGCCCCCCGGCCGTGGCCACGCCCCTGGCTCTGGCCCCGCCCTCCTAGGTACCTGTTTTCAGAACATAGCACCTGTTTTCCTAGCAGGCAAGCAAGGACCTGAAGGGTCCTAACAGCAGAGACACTGGTCTCTGCTGTGCCGTAAGGATTTTCTGTGCCTAAACCAAACCACTCATCTCTGTGACCCACACTTGCCTGCTCAGAATTGAGGCGACACAAACACCCCTGGGACAACCTAGTAAGTAAACTAATAAACCCGGGTGGGCTTTGCTTATCTCTGCTCGCTTTCCAGTGTGCGTTTCATTTTTTGTGTAAACCTGTTTAATTTGGGAGTGTTTGTAGGTTAAGATGAGAGAGACTTGAGACAGGAATTGGCAGCAGAGCGGTAGACTCTGTCCCACTCAAAGCAGGAATTAGCGGTGTGAGATGGCTGTCTTTCATGGCAAACTGAACCATTATTTAGAAAAGGCAAAAACAACTGGCTTCCACTGTGGATGAGGAACCTGACCCAGAGACGGGAAATGGCCAAGGCAGTTTCGTATTGAGGAAATATGAGACCTGTTTGAAGCTGTGTAGGCTGAAGGCAGGGGAAGAGGAAGACCGGGATTGCCCAGGACCTTAGGCCAATTGCTAGTGGGTAGAATCCTGACTGGCCAGGGTTGAAGAATGGAGCTACTGAATCATTCACTCCTACTGACTAACTCTGCTTCCAGAAGGCATGGGGTGTGTGTGTGTAGGGGGTCTTGGCCTAGTCGGTAAACTTCTTTGAGCCAGTTGCCTCCTCTAAGAGTGGGAGAGTAATTCCTACCTCATAGGGCTGTCGTAAGAATTAAATAATGCGTTGTAGCGTTCATAGTGAAACACTCCAGACATGGTGTGGTGGGAGCAGCTGAATTCTCTCCGAATATGTAACAGAGAATCTTACTAACAACGAGCTTCTGCTAGTCTGTCAGCTTCTCAGCCTAGAGACTCTTCAAACAGGGCTGCAAATCCTTAGCCAGCCACTTGCAAGAGGGACCTTCAAGAATCGGAACTTGTGGGCTGGCTACGGAAGAAGTGATTTCCGACCCACTGAGATCTCTTCTAGGAACCGGATCCATTCCTCATTCCATTTCCTAGTCCCAAAACAATAGACAACATCTGTTTCTAACAGCTGTCTGACCCCAGACAAACCACTGTCCTCTGGGTCCAGCTGCCCCTTTCCAGGGGTCTGTAAAGTTGATCATAGGGGCTTTTAGAAGAAGAGGTTTGTGTGGTTGCTGTTCCTTGCTATCGGCACTATCATTAGGATGTCTATCAGTTTAAGAACATGAGAAAGTGAGAGAGAGAGAGTGGGGGTGGGGGGGATCTCCAACAGACCCCCATAACAGCAGCACCAGAACCGCTCTTCATGTGGTTCCTGGTTTGGCAGCTCTGATCTTCCCAGCACACATCATCTGTGCCTTGCATTGAGCAGAGGTTTGCCTTTTAAGTTCCTCCTTTTGGCCATGAGCTGCTAAAACAGAGGCAAACACTGTCACTCAACTGGTGTCTTTATTTATCTTTCTTGGCCGTTTCCCATGGGGAACTGTTAAAGGGAGAAGCAAGAAGGCTGAGCAGGAAGCGACTGGTTTGGTTTTCCTCCATCCAGTGGAGGAAGAGACTGAGGAGGCTCTAGAGCGCACAAGGAAGCATGTGGGCTGAGAGGCACCGTGCAGTGATGTCAGACGACCGGAGTCCTTGCGTCAGGAAATGCAGCATGGTGGGAAATGGAAAAGCTTGAGGGAAATGAAGGAAGCGCGCACAGAGCAAACCGCTAATGTCGTGCAGACACGAGGACGGCCGGAAGTGAGAAACCAGGGGTCTCCAAATTCCACCTGGACGCACCTGCATCCCGCTGCCCTGTGCCGGCTGTTGGGCCACCAGTGCCCTCCTAAGACAGTCTCTGTTGACTCTGACAGTGCTGTGAGCCACAGAAGATCAGAGATGAGAAGAACCTCAAGTGTGGAGCACCAGGGCAGCCCAAAAGAGGGCTGCATTGAGAACATCCAAGCATCCCCGAGGGGGTGGGGGAGGGGGTGGGGGGAGAAGCACTTGGGAGGGGTACAATCAGCACCTTTCTTTGGGCACACACAAAAGAAGCCACGCTCTTAAATCTTCAGTCACCAGGTGAGGGGGAAGGCTGATTAACTACAGAGCTGAAGGCAGGGCAGCCAGGCCCCTCCACATCCTTCCCCAGTATTCTGGGCCTGGTGTGCAGTGTTGATTGCAGGGCCTGTGGGAACAGGGCCAGCTCAGCAGCCCAGCCAGTCCGATTTGATGCTTCCAAACTTCACACTCTTCAGACTTTGGTTCTCCAGCTTCAGGTAATATGCACCTTTGAAGAAGTAGCTGTGACCTGAGAGAGACAAGGAAGAGAGACTGGACCTATGCATGGCACATGGAATGTCTCTGGAAATGGTCACCTCTGCCTGGCATAGGGGAGAAGCTTTTCAGCCTGGGAAGACCTTCTGGGCTGGAGGAAGAGGAATGGCAGGGAAACTGGGTCTTGTAGTCACTGACTGCTCATCTCTGAGCCAGGGATCAGGACCCAACCTCTTAGAGAAGTGGTTCTCAAGGGTCACAGCCCTTTTGGGTTCATATATAAGCTATCCTGCATGTCAGTTATTTATATTATGATTCATAACAGTAGTGAAACTATAATTATGAAGTCGCAACAAAAATAATTTTATGGCTGGGGGTCAGCACAACATGAGGAACTGTGTTAAAGGGTGGCAGCGTGAGGAAGGTCGAGAACCGCTGTCTAAGGCTTGTTAGGAGACTAAGTTAGTAATACTTGCTCCTGGCGACTTCCTGAGCACAAGCACCAAGCCAAGCACTGTCACACATCAGGGGATGGGAAGTAGGAGACCCCCCAGGCCTATCAGGCTTATTAGGTTCATACAAATGTTTGCTTCACTTTGTCTTTAATTCTGAATGACTTGCCAAGGTATAAACACATCTGGCAATGTCACATGCATGTGCAGATGTCTGGCCTCTCTCTAAGTCTCTAAAACGTCTAAAAACCACAAGGCTCTACTCTTGCATGTCTACAGTCATCAGACTCTGAGAAGCAACCCTTCCCTGCCAACACACACACACTCCCACACTCCCACACTCAGGCCCTCCACCCACACACACTCAGGCACACACACAAACAAGCATACTCACACATTCAGCCCCCCACTCAAATCCACTTATCCACCACAGACACACACACACACACACACAAATTCTCTCTCTCACACACACACACACACACACACACGGCCTCCCACATTCATACACACACACACATTTAGACCCACACACAGCCTCCCACATTCATACACACACATTTAGACCCACACAAACACACGTATGTGCATACTCACACATACACTCATGCACACTTACATGTGCACAAACACATTCACACACACACACACACACGCATAATTTATTTTCTACTGTTTCCCCTCCTGGCCTCTAGAGGCTTTAGAACCTGTGAATTCCTTCAAACACACATGATCCCGTTTACCCCATTTACAACCCTAGCTCACAGTATGGACCTGAGAGATATTTGGTTGAAGGTCAGCCTTAATGGAGCACCTGATTAGACACTGCTTTCCTTCTGCGTGTGTGAAACCTCAGCATGGGCGCTTACGTGAGCTTTGCAGATGGCAAAACCACACACACACACACACACACACACACACACGCGCGCGCGCACACACACACACACATGCACCACATTAAAAAAAAATAAAACTTTTGTGAATCTGAACTAACACCTCCTCTAAAAAGCCAAACTGACTTCATTTCTAGCACCCCAGGGAGTCACAGAAACCTCCCTGAGAATATGGTTTTCAAATCCCAAATGCTCTCCTGTGCTGACACGACAAAGAAGCAAGCTGCTGAGTGGGAGATCATTGCCATGGGAGTGACAGAGCATGACAAAGTCTGCCTTGTCTCAAGTAGAACCGTGCTCCTGACGGGACATGGTCACAAGGCCTCCTGAGAAACCCAATACAGCCTGGCTCAACCCCCAGAATGAATCCAGGGCACCAGGCCATGTTCCTGGTCCCTGGAGGTCTCCCAGGCCTCCTCTACTGTGGCTCCAGGCTCTGCAGCTGTGAGGGGCCTTTCTAGGTCTTACAGCCTGGAGTTTGGCTGGGGCGGCAAGGGTCAGGAGTCTGGCTGCCTTCCCAGCACTGAGCTAAAGGGACTGGTTTGTTTTCCAGGACTGCATGGCTGCCCTGAGGAGTGTGTACAAAGGAGGAGCTGCTTCCTGGCTGGGGGGCAGGCAATCCTAGAATGCCAACAGAGGCCTGGGTAGCTCACCACCGCCTTGCAGGTCCACGACCGCATCCAGGTTATCCGGGATGGCGTTCCAGGAATCTGCGATGAGCTTAGGAAAACCAGGATCCATTTTCTTCTTTACCTCATTGTATCTAGGGAAAGAGACAGGGAAAAGCAAATGGCCTCGCTGAAGGCCAGTCCCCACTGCCCACTCTCACCCCCCAGTCCTGGAGAGAAGGATCCAAGGATGGCACAGAGAGGGTCTGGGAAAAAGACTTGGCCTCTTTCAGAGAGGAAGCAGGCAGCAGTGTGGGGGCCTACACCTGACTCTGAATCCCACTCTACTAGCTCCTGATTCTTGAGACGATACCGAAGAGCAAGTGTCATTGCCACCAAGAAACACATGTTTGCGTCTCTCCCATGTCTGGTATTGAGCAGGGATTTGGGAATTGAGTGTTCCCTTACCAACTTTTTTTTTTTTTAAAGTTTCTTTTGAGATTGATTTATTTTTAATGTGTTTAGGTGTTTTGCTTGCACATATGTCTACGCACCATGTGTGTGAATGCTCTCAAAAGCCAGAAGAGGGAGTCAGATCCCTGGAACTAGAGTTATAGGTAAACA